ATAGAGCAGTTTTTTGCGAGGAGACTTTGAAGGAAACATGGGAGGCGAGAACCCAAGGAAAACTTGAGGAACTTAAGATGGACTTTGGAGATACATGATGGGAACTTAAGGCGAATTTAAAACGAACTTGACTCGAATAAAAACTACAAGGGAACCCCAGAACAACTTGAGCTAAATGGTTTCATTGGAACTTGTGGAGAGACAAAACGGAAGAAGTGAATGTCACAGAAACCTTCAAAAACCAGCCGACCAGCGATCAGCGAAAAATTGAAGCGGATTTGAAGAAAAATTTAGAGTATTTAAGAAGAATTTGGAGAAATCTTGACCAAGACTTGGCGAGAGCTTAAAAAGGGGCATTTAAGTAGAACTTGATCTGTAGAGGGACTTTAGGAGAAAGACTTCATGGGAACATAAGAGGAGCTTGAGAATAATTTTGTAGGGCCTTGAGCGGAAATTTGAGCAACTTGGGATGTCCTGGCTTAAAAAAAAGTGAAGAACCTGAGGAGCATGTAATATTTTTTATCCTTATTTTAATTTTGTAATATCAAACTCTACGATTGTACTTGTTTCTTAATGAATGGTTTTAATATGATAATATTCTCAAAAATCCTTAACTCAAAGTGGTAGATAGGGGATGGGATGGGTATGCAAATTATCCCAGGGCACAATATTCGGATAATTTTCACTGAAGAGACATATGCAACAGAGAATTTCGAACTGCCTGTAGTGGCTATACAAATACATGTGAACTTTTCGAACCTTCAACTAATAATGATAAACATAGTGTGATCAGAAAAATTACGCGAAGATGAAAAAATATTTGTCATGAGAAAGAATCTTCTAAGAACGTTTTGTGTATGTTTTAAATTTTGGTAACGTTTATACTACACACAAATAATCTAGTTTTCCTCGAATAAAAAGTAAAATGGCTTAGAATAACACACCATCACCGTATAGCGGCATCTTTAATCTTAAGTTACTTAAATGGATGTGTAAGCCACTTATATACGCAAAAAAGTATGTAAATACAGGAATTTCAAACGATCATCGTTCCTAATTACTAATTAAAATAAACACCGACATCTAAATTTGCGATAATTATAAAGAAACATTAATATGTTATATATGGTTTAACGCACGCACCCGCCCATAAGTTCACAAACTGATATATGCCCAGAAAGTTAACAGATTTATTTCTTCCCTTAAATTGGAAGTGTTAAAAAAGTTTGTTTTCATAAAGTGCTACATCAGGATAGATTTAGTAGATTATTATTTTCATTACAATGAAGGGAGTACTGCTTTTCTACTTTAACATTAAATTATGATTTCCTTTGAAATTGATTTATGTCCAACTAAGAATATATTAATTGATGACAGAAGTTGGGGTGGTTACAGATCAAACGTACCGCAATACAGTAGGGGTTGCATATTTGTCGTTTAGGCGCCATAACTATCAATCCTGTTTTATACGTGTGAATATACTCACATAATTTGGTCGAATTTGCCCTTAACAGGAACATGGACCGCGGGTTGCTTCCTTTTTATAACCCATCTATCTTCTTAATTATAGAATTATAGAAATACCTATATGGATTGTATCTACATAACTTACGCATTTCTACATAAATTGACAGATTCTTTTGAAACTAGAACTAGATGATTATACTTATTATTTATTAATAACTTATTAGTGTTCTAGCTTGAGCTAGGTGACTATTGCGATCTCCGATTTTTGGACGTGTTAAAATTTCAAATATGTCATTTTAAAGCATACATTTTTTTTCCCCCTGTAAGTACCTACGTAATTTTCTGAGATAATGGCTCGACGGATTTTGAATTGCGCATACAGCAAGGATTCTTCTTCTTTTGGCGAACTGAATCATCGCCCAACTGCGCTATGTGAGCCGACGTAGTTTGAATCTACAAAAAAGCGCACTTCCCTTTAGGATTTGAAGAGTGAAACGTTTTAGGACAGCAATAACTTATTTTTATTTTTTATTTTGCCTTTATTTTTCTTTCTTATTTTACTCACTCGTAATGTTGCAATTTGTATCTTAAGTTCAAATGTGTGTGTTTTTTTTCTTAAGATACATGCTCAAAAATTATTTATAGTGGTGTGCGTCTACCGAGGCGGCTACAGAAATTAGGAAGGTCGCTTATTTTTAATGGATAGCACTATTTTTCGTGATGCATTATTAAAGAATGAACTTTTTTTAATATGACAACATAAAAAACATGGTCAAACTAGTATAATTATGAAATTAATTAATAACTTAGCTTCATTAATTTGAGTTTTTCTCTTAAATTTAATGATGTAATAGTTTTTATGTTGCTATATCCAAAAAATGTACTCTTTAAAAATATGTCATGAAATCTAGTAATTGCTATGCCCCCTTTGGCCATACAGAAGTACGCCACTGATCACAAATTTAAAGTACGTATAGCTTGGTAGCAAACTTTTTATAATTTTAGATATCATAAAAAGCTTCTTTTATTTAAAAAAATGTTAGTTTGAAGATATACCTATTCAGTGTTCCAGACAACATTTTCACCCCATATATGCTGTGAATGGTCTATCATTCATGCAGAGAACATGTTCAATACTTTGAATTTCTAAAGGTGGCGAAGCGATAAGACATTTTGTTTGTAGAAAAGTGGAAATGACTCTTAAAGAATTTAGAAGCATAACTAAGTATATTACTTTCTGAATTTGTTGATAGTGAATGACAGTCAGCTTCTTAGAATGCGTTTGGATGGAATTGTTCAAGTTCAGATGTTACTTTCTGAATATACAAGTACCTACCGTGTTACCTAAGGCTGTTATTACTTATTGAGCTTCTAAAATTCCCAAGAGAGTAATTCGTTAATAAAGATGATGAACAATGTTGGACGCAAAATAGATATTTGTGGAACACTATAACGATAACCGGAGGTTTTAAAACTTTCAACCGTGATCAATTATTTCCTAATTTTTAAGTAGGATCGGAGTCATTGTGGGCAAATTCCGCGTATATATGTGTTATTTTGAATTTGACCAACAATATATCGTAGTATCAAACGCTTTATTAAATAGAGTAAACTTTCTTATAGAACCTATTTATAATGTCTTTTGTGTACTTTCCAGTGTGTATACCCAAAGCTAAAGTTCAGTAATTATTTCGGCAATTCGAGGAAGACATAATTTTTTGTGGGTTGTTTAAAAGCTACCTGATGTGTTGTTTATTCAATTTTTCCAAAGTGGCACTGTTAACGTGCACACTATTGATAAATGATAATCTCGTAAAACAAGTGGACGCTATAGACAAAGTTCAGATAGATTATCTTCTATTTGGCTTAGAAACACACACAATTTCTACTTTATTTAGAATTTCCAGTGTATGTTAACATACCTTTATAATCAAATTACATATTAAGAAATACGTTGAGGAGAAGAGCTTAAATAGAGGCTTAAATCAATCACGTCTGTACGCCACTTTGAATTTGAATAATATCATAATTAATTCTTCAAAAAAAAACACGGTATAGATATATAGATATTTTGTATGGTGAGCATTTTCTTAACATATCTTTAGTATAAAAGTGGAAATTTAATTAATGTAATGCGGAAAAGTCTACTGTTGCTTCTGTTTCAAAGGTCCAAAGTCCAGAGGGGAGTAAATTTTGACATTGAAGATTTAAAAAAACATTATCCATGTCACGAATCGAAACTTTAACAAATAAAATTTAGCCAAATCTTCTCGTAGATCAGTTTCGAATTTACTTATAAAAACGATAATTATTGGAGAAAAGTTATTGCTCATTGTTGTCAACAAGAAAATCTATCTCAACGCGTAGGTTTTACGAGTATTAATGTTTCACTGTGGGTCGTTGCTTGCTGTTTTGTTTGATTGTTTGTTACGATAGATACAGGGTGACGCATATGTCAGTTTCCCCATGTAAACGTCACTGAGACTGCTGAGCATCACATCACACAAGCAACTACAACAGAGAACTATTACTGTTCTTTTGCTGCTAACATAACACTGTTACCAACCTATATCGAAACATAATATCTGGTATATGCGCCACCCGGTATGTCCTTTTGATTGATGGCATGCATACAGTACCTACAAATGGTATACCTATACATTATGTTTGAGATTCTATAACTCTTGTTCACACTTCCTTCCATAACTCTTGTTTAAGCATAGTGCCCCGCGAACCATAGACGCGGAAAAGTATGTTTTAGGCACACACGTATGTTATGGTTGACTTGCCATAAACACATTCACAGAATATGTAACGTGGTAAATAATAAATGAAATATGAAATTTAAATCGTTTATTTGTAATTAATTAGTGCAGATGCGACAATGAAAAATTCAGGTACCTAAGGGACCGACACATTATATAATTAGTCCAATCATCAGACTGATTGAATTTCTATAATGCAGATTTAAATGAGCTCAAAAGATCCAATTGTGTAGATGTTCCCCTACAGGTAGGTATTAGTGCTAAAGTGAAGGTTGGTACATCAAAGACAAATCTGTCAAACAAAATTAATTGCAAGTACCTATAGGTACACGTCCCTAGAGGTGGTGCTCATTTTTTAAATAGGAAATGTACTGTAGTCTGTAAAGAGCAATTATTGAAACAAAAATTGATCATTTGTTATTGTTTTTGACTTTGTAATATGACCGTGTAATGTAATTAAATTAAGAAAAGCTGTAGGGCCATCTGACAATCATTCCTGTAATAAATCACTTTTATTACAATTAGACACAATTTTTTTCTTAAAAACTTATATTTTTGGTTAATAAATAATAAAAACTTATAAGTAATTATCCAATTACATAGCGTTTAAAAGATTTCGGTCCCTCCCCAACGTTGAAACCCAAATGGTTCTATTGGCTGTTTAAAAATGTGTCTCCTGAAAATATATATCTTGTTAGATCGTTCCACAGAATGTTGACAGGCTTAATTACTTTCGCAGTAATCGGTGTCTACTAACAAGACTCAATTAAACATCATGTTGCTGTAGATACTTTTCTAAAATGCATTTCCTCAATAATATTAAAATGGAAAATGATCAAGTTGTTTCGCGAACTGGACCGATTAATTTTAATAACTATTTTTCTTCAACTTATAACGGTTACATACGAACGTCGAGTGTATATTACGATAATTTACCTTATAACGATTTCAATCAAGATTTTCAATATCCCGAGTCCGTTAATTTTCCGATTGGACTGAATGGACACGGCAAAAGTGAAAATGTGTACGGTTTAAACGATTTTGATGTTAGCTTTGCGATCGCATCTGAAACAGTTACAGCAGTGAGAGCAACCCCTTCGCCTCCGACGAACTTTATGAGTTATTGTTTTCCAAGAGATAATCAACATTACCAACCACGGTGTTGGAATTCTTCCGCTCAAAGGGGAAGTTGTTCTACGGATTACGCAGTAAAAAATGGAAAGTGTTACGAAGACGACGGTACGGAACAAAGCGATTGTAAGAGGTACATCGAAGCCACAACTCCAAAGGGATTTACAGGTAATAAATATTTGGTTTGTTAAATTTTTGACTAAAGTTATATCCTCTGTTATATCTACAGGGAAATTTGACAAATAACGAATCAGTCCTAAGCTTCTAACCACATAATTTATTTGCAATTGCATACTTAAATCTAAATTCTTATGGATCACAGATTTAACTTATGTGTATACTTAGATTTTAATCTACAATCTAGGTTAGGGAATCTAGATTCATTTTCCAAACACAGAAAGCTTTCCATGACTTTCCATTATGAAAATTGTCGTGAACGGATACCATTTCCCACCCATCAACAACTTTGAATATCTAACTCGCAACTAAATCATTCTAATGCACAATTCCAAAACAAACAAAATATACCTTCATGAGTCTTTTAGATCTTTAGACTTTTAGAAATGGTTTCTGACGAATACCTATTCTACTTTTTCATATCACAAATGGAACTACACCATTTGTCGCACGCACACGACGCGCCGCGTTTGGATTTTGAGCGGCAAGAAATATAAATGAACAACTTTAATCAAGTAACCCTTCAATTGTAAAAATTGAACAGGACGTACCTTTAAGCTGTATGCTTAAGCTCCACAGCAATCACTGTTGAAACAATCGTTGTCATAGTTCTGCGTAATATTGACAAAGAAAATGGCGAGTCAATTGAGCCACTTCTATAAATGGCCCGAAAGATTTAAAAATTTGGCAACAATGGTCGTACTGTCACTGACATTAAAAACAGTACCTAAGTACCTAATCTTTTATTGTTAACTGTTACATTTATAATTATTTATCGTGATAATGGAAATAAACAGACTTTTCTCTAGGTATGTCAAAAAAATGCACGTACTCAAACTTTAAATCACGTGGTAGGTAAGTGCTGTAGAAGCAGACGAAGAGTTATTGTTAATAAAATTTTATTTTTTGTAGTCATCTTGATTCCTTGGTTAGAAAAAATGGCAACACAAATAAATTAGGTAATGTTAGTGAGGAAACTGAGAATATATCAAATTTTCTTGTTATCTGCATTGTTTTTTATAAAGTGCGTATATTAGATACGAGTAAAATTACCAATTGTTTGTTTTTTATGGTATTTTATGTAATTTATGTAACTTACCATTTTTTACAAAACCGTAATTTTACAGTAAAATTACCAGTAATTTATGTTTTTTACGTAATTTACAAATATTTTTGTAAAATTACCTGTCATTTATGCTTTTTTTAGTATTCCATAAACCCTTTTGAATTTTGTGAGTATTTGAAAACAAAAACACTTGTTAAATTATATATTTTGGTGTATTAAATAAAATACCCAAGCAGTAGGTATTTCGCCATCACCACGTCGTTTGGAAGAAGAAGTTCCAGATCGCGAATTAGATGCTGTAGCTGTAGCATCTGCAATAAACCAAACTAAATTCAATGGTGAATCATTTACGTTGGTACTTTGGTAGTACCAATCAAAATGTATCAAACATCATGTATCAAACTTATGTAAATTTACAAAAATTACGATTCTTTAAATAGAAAACTAAGTTACGTAAATTTCGTAAAAGGCATAAATTACATAAACCTCTTGTAAGTTACGCGTAATATAACCGTTTTTTATGTGACTTACAAATCGTTATTTTACAATCCACATCACTAGTTTTAGAAGTTTTTTTTTATTGTTCAATTTCAGTAAAAAAATTTATAGATTTAAACCGAGATTTAAACCATATTTGTAGTTATAAAATTAATTTTTAGCTTCCTATTGCGATCACCGTTTTTGTAAATATCACCAAATGTCGGCGTTTTAGATCATTTTAAGCAACTTTTAAAGAATAAATTTTACTGTATTATGTACAGGGTGGTTCAGATTCGTGGCTGACCATTGGGATCTCCGTAATATTACAGTGCACGTTAAATGGGGGCAAATCTGCCCCTTATTGTGACAAAAAACCATTTAACATTTTTGAAAAATCTTTGAAAATATCTCAAATATCAGTGAAAAGTTGAAAATGTCAAATTTCGTTTTCATTTTTCCTAGCGCAAACGGTCGGAAATGCACGGTTTCTACTTCTAGCGTGTTATGAAAGTTCTGATAACCGATTCAGATTCTCCGCAGAAAAGTGCTCAGCTATTACCAAAGACTTTTTTAAAATTCCATATGATTTTCTTTAATAACAAAAAAGGGCAAATTTTCCCCCATTAAACCTACATTGTATCTCTCCCCGTTACAGAGATCCCAATGCTGAGTAACGAATTTGAACCACTCCGTACGTACGTGCGTACGTTGGCCATTTTCCGTAATAACGGGTAGACAGAACTTGTTTGAATTTTGGGTATGTATATTAGGCACACAGAAACGATAAACAACGGGGCGGATTTAAAAAAAAAAAATTTTGGAACGCCGTAACGGCACCGAACTTTTTTTCAAACAGTAACGCAAAATGTTTATTAAGCTATTCCAATAACGTTCATTTTCTGGTGTACAACCTACAAAAATTATGCTTGGTTTGATTACAAAAAACGGAGGAAAAACATTGTCAAAACGGCTATTTGGTTTCGTTAAAATATTGGCAGCATTAGGCATAAAGGATGTAAGACTCTCAAAAACGTTTTTTATATACATTGTTGTGAGACCTAACCTTCACTTCTGGGAATCCCACGATTTACCTCTAGCTAGCTCAGTTGTAATTAAAATGAAAACAAAATTTTTATCCGCATCTCAAGGTCCAGCTGGATTCTGCCACCCTACAGCATTCCAACAATGACATAAATAGGTGGCTTAACCAAATCCTTAAATTCCAATATGAAACTTTACCCCCAGATTTAATCAACTTGAAACAAAGTAAGAGACGCCGACAATTACCTCTCCTTGACTCTAATAAACAAAACCTGGATTGCAATGACTGGTTTAATTTCAAACAAAAAATTGCGTAAATTTCTGTTTTACAAATTGTTACAATTTTAAACAGATAAATGACACACAAAAAAAAAACAAATTACTCAAACATTACAAAAAAAACAAGACAAAACAAAACACTAACTACTACTTACTTTTAAAATTAGTCCGAGTAACGTACTCCGATAAAAAGAGGTAACCGTACACAAACACGCAAACCAAACACTCAAACACCGACGTCTTCTCTCTTCGGGTACCCACAAATTCAAAACTTCCGTGTTTCCGCAAAATAAAAAAAAAACAGGACGACGACAAACTTCTTAAACTTCTCAAAAATTCTTCTTAAACGGCAGACAAAAATTCTAACTAAACCTGGATCCACTACGCAAGAAACTTCCACAAAATTCAAAAAATAACGTAACCGAAGAAGCGCCGGTTGGCTTTGTAACGACCAAAAAGCCCCGCTCTCTTCAAAAATTTTCTATTTAAGCCAAAAGCCCTTCTCCTTTCTTCAACATCCCGCCCGCCAATCACGCGAAGCGTCGATTTTTCAACTTCTTGCTAAACGGCACGTACGCCCGGCAATTCTGCGAAGACAACCTTATCTCTACTTCGCGCTATACCTCGTTAACGGCAAATAAAATTTAAAAAGAAATTTACATCGAAAAAAATTCTAGGAATAAAATAAAAACAGAACACTTCTAAGAAATTGAACCAAAACTATAACATGAAATTTACGCAATTTTTTTGTCTCAAATTATTAATAACCCCCCCGGTTAATTAATTGAACTAAACAAAATTGTCACATCCAGACGCTCTATAATTTCTTTCAAGTTACAACTAAAACAAAATAACACAACAACATATATATAAAGGCATTTTTCTTATATTTCTAAAATACTATAAAACATTGTATTTAATTTTCCTTTCATTAATAATGTTATATAAAATATTACAATAATTTAATCTTTTATATAGTCTAATGCCTGTGATGCCATAATTTTGATCGTCTTGACGAGCGTCAGTTAGAAAGATATGGAGAACCTTTGAAAATGAAACTAAACTGATCCTTTAAGGGTTTTGGCACATGATGAATTGAACTAAAATATTTTCAAGATGGCGCCACTTCGGCAAATACCGGAAGTATCTTTCCTGGCCGCTATTCGATGACATTCACCATGTATTAATATTAAATTCAAAAAAATCTTTATTAGTTTAACCCAAACGAGCTATTATTGACGAGAAATAGAAGTTAAAAACTGTTCAAGAAGCGCGTTTAGACGTTATCAGAATAAAAACAAAAGAATAACATCAAGCGACTTAATTTTTTACCAATTCCCCACAAGCAGTTAGTAAAACATGGAATATCTCGGAAACCATTTGAAGCAACCTTTGACATTTTGTATCAAATTAAAGGTATCGGAAAAAGAAAAACAACAGTGAAGAAAAAAATGGGGGTTGCCATAGGAAAAAATGGCGTTACGGATATTTAAAAATTTAAAAGTTGGAAGCTTTGAAAAAGTGACATAGTCTCACTTTTTTAGACGGTTACGCATACCATAAGAAAATTCGACCTAGTAAAAACTGTTTTGCAATATGTCTCACCGTTTTCGAATAATAAATTTTTAAAATTACCCCGGCGAATTCAATTTTTGACATAAAAACTTGAAAATCGATGAAGCCCTTGGAGCAAAGGGTATCGTTGTACTCCAAATTCGAAGTAGAATCCGAAAATGTAGAAAAAATAGGGGGTCCCTATTTAAAATAACAAAGTTGATGGCTACTTCCGGTATTTGCGGAAGTGGCGCCATCTTGAAAATATTTTAGTTCAATTCATCATGTGCCAAAACCCTTAAGGCACTTATCAGTTTAGTTTCACTTTCAAAGGTTCTCCACTAGGTTCTCCATATCTTTCTAACTGACGCTCGTCAAGAATTACCCTGTATAATGATCGGCTTATAGGAATCGTGATATTAAAAAAAAAGCAACATGTTTATAGCTCCCCTCCAAGCGTTCAAAATTTTGGACCAAAACGGCGAAGCGATTCTTTGAAAGTATAATCGAATACCATTTTCACAGGCCATAGCCACCTTGCCAAATTGTATGCTTGAGCATAGAGGATGGA